CGGCACCCTCCACGTCTGCGTCCTCGCGGTGCGGCGCCTGCCCGCGGAGGATAGCGCGGCGCCGCTGCACGGGGCGCTGAGATTTTCAGGGCTCGGTCGAGGAGGAGGGGGAGGATAAGGATAAGGATAAGGCCTTCGGGGGTCGTGCCGTCTGCGATTCTGGGCACTTTTGACCCCTGGGATGCAGATGGAAGCAACCCCTCTAGTCCGACCGTCGTCGGCCCGAGAAACTGCCTGGGGCGAGGCGATGCAGGGGGCTGCCTGCAGCGGGCCCCCCGCATCGCTGCCCCGTTGCAGGAGCCCCTGCACCATAGAACAGTTTGGGGAAAAAACGACAGGAGCCTGCCGCTGTTTCGGGAGGGCAGGCGACAAGCTCTCCCCCCCCCTCCTCCTCGCTGCAGTCAAGGCAAAAAAAACGGCCTGGAACTTCGCGTTCGTGCCCGTCCCCACTGCCAGGAGGAGGAGGAGGAGGAGGAGGAGGAGGAGGAGGAGGAGGAGGAGGAGGAGGAGGAGAGGAGGAGGAGGAGGAGGAGGAGGAGGAGGAGGAGGAGGAGGAGGAGGAGGAGGAGGAGGAGGAGGAGGAGGAGGAGGAGGAGGAGGAGGAGGAGGAGGAGGAGGAGGAGGAGGAGCAGGCGCTGAGATTTCCAGGGCTTGGTCGAAGCCTTTGGGCGCCCTCCGCGGGGGCCCAGCGGCCTTCGAGCCTCTGCTGGCGCTCTCCTGCAGCTGCGCCTCGCCGAGTGGCCCGCTGTCGACGGCCGCTGGAGGCCCGCGGACTACGACCCGAAAGACAGGCCCTCCCGCGTCGTGGAAGAATCACGCCGGGAGGTTGTGGACCGTCGCAGGCGGAGGCGCCTTGCGCCACTTATGCTCTTCCGGAGTGCGGTTTCGGGCCTTTCCGGAGCTGCAGAAGACGATGCAGAATGAAAATCTGGTCCCCGAGGTGTCGAGAACTCTGGGGCCCAGGCAGGCAGACTTAAGTCGGGCCTGTCCCTCTACAGGAGGAACATTCAAAAGTAGGGGAAAATCGTATGAAGACGATGGTTAAGTTTTTTTGTTGTTTCCTTTTTTTACACGTGTTTTTTTCGCCCAAAATCGGCCTGTAGGGGGACATCCGGGAATTTCATGGATCGGTCCGTCTCGAGAAGGCACGCGCAGCGATGTGGTCGGGGAGCTCCAGTCGTGCTTTGCCCCACGGCGTCGTGGTTCTTCCGACTACCTCGGACGTCTGTTGAGGCGGTGCGCGAGAGCAGGCCAGCGCGAACATGCTTGTGTGTGTGTAGGTGGTCGCTGTCTCCCCCTTTTCCTTGGCTTGCTTCTGCTGCCACCGACTACTGGGCGCGCGCGCGGTCTCCCGCGCGGGCGCTTGACGCCATGTCGATGCGTCCGGCCGCGACGACCAAAAAGTGCGCGCGTGTGTGTGTGTGTGTGTGTGCGTGTGTGCGTGTGTGCGTGTGCGTGTGTGTGTGCGTGTGTGTGTGTGTGTGTGTGTGTGTGTGGGTGTGTGCGTGCGTGCGTCCGTGCATTGCGGCTTAATTCGCGTTTTGTGTGCCCCACTGGTTAATGCGCCATTGCCAGCGCAGTCACTCTGCCTAGCCACCGACGCAAAAAGTGTGTGTGCGTGTGTGTTTGATGGCCTGGCCCGCGCTCTCCGGCTTGACTTGCCCTACGCCGTGCCGCCGCGGCGCGCGTGGCCGCGACGCCAAAACAAGTGTTGCGCGTGTTTGTGTGTGTGTGTGTGGTCGTTGTCTCCCCCCTGTGCCCTGCCTGCCCACAGGGCCCTCGTCCTGTATGCGATCCGCCATTGTGGTCCGCCTCTGCGCCCCCTCCTTGTCGTGTGGACTGCGCACTGCTCCACCCTTTTTCAATCTCGCTCCTCTCCCCCCTCTCCCCCACTGCTCCACTCGCGACTGCCCCCTCGCGAGTGATGCTGTCGATCCCCCGTGGGTAGATCCAGTATTTCTACGCCGCGTGATCTGGGCCGGCTCGCGAGCGTCTCGCTCATTCTCGATTTTTATTACGCCGCGCAGCTGCGCGCGTGGTCGCGACGCCAAGCCACGCCGGTAGTGACCCCCCCCCGGTTTTGCAGATCCGGAGGGGGGGGGGGGGGGGGGGGGGTTCGAACCGGTAGTGACCCCCCCCGGTTTTCGAGGGGGGGTGGGGGGGGGGGAGGGGTTAGGGGGGGGGGGGGGTTTTGCCGGGGGAGAGGGGGGGGGGGTCCAGCAGGGGGGGGGGGATTTTCGGAGGGGGGGGGGGGCGACCCCCGGGTTCCGGAGGAAAAGGTTGGCAATTTTCCATAGTAAAGCGGCGGTGGATCACGCTCTCTCGTATGTATGTATGTATGTATGTATGTATGTATGTATGTATGCATGTATGCATGTATGCATGTATGCATGTATGCATGTATGCATGTATGCATGTATGCATGTATGCATGTATGCATGTATGCATGTATGCATGTATGCATGTATGCATGTATGCATGTATGCATGTATGCATGTATGCATGTATGCATGTATGCATGTGTGCATGCATGCATATATGCATGTATGTATGTATGTATGTATGAATGAATGAATGAATGAATGAATGAATGAATGAATGAATGTATGAATGTATGAATGTATGAATGTATGAATGTATGTATGTATGTATGCATGCATGCATGTATGTATGTATGTATGTATGTACGTACGTACGTACGTACGTACGTACGTATGTATGTATGCATGTATGTATGTATGTATGTATGTATGTATGTATGTATGTGTGTGTATGTATGTATGTATGTATGTACGGTACGTCTGTCTGTCTGTCTGTCTGTCTGTCTGTCTGTCTGTCTGTCTGTCTGTGTGTGTGTGTGTGTGTGCGTGAATGTCACGGCGTAACTCTTCACTGCGTATTTTTGTATCTATCGCTGGGGCTGAAGGGTAGGAGCCGAAGACGAACAACAAATGCACATACATATTTGTTTCGGAGTTATGTGTGGATTTCTTGGATTTGTGCGGGGCCACCCCTGGTGCCCGCGACTCGCCAGGGAGGCGGTCCAGGAAGGCTTGTTGTGTATCTCTCCTCGCGTCTTTTTTACCAGAAAGGGGGAAACATCCACCCCCAGGTCCATTCCGATTTGATCGATTCGGTTCGATATCGATTCCGGCTCGCGCGATCCGATTCGACTCCAGTATTCCGACTCCAGGCGGCCAGGGTGGCATCGATTGGGAACGTAACAAACGGAGATGGGAGGAGTGCTGTTCAGACAATGACTTTCTGCCCAGGCTCGTTTGCTAGCACGGGTGGTACCAGAAGCACATAGCTACAATTTTTTGCAATGTCAACGCGATTACAGAACAGACTGGCCTTACGAGCATACGAGCCCGGGAGGCGATCACCAAGGTCGCTGTGGGCCCTCTCCTTCCTAGTTCGGAACAGAAGCTTCGGAGGGGTCTACAGCGCTGACTGGTCACAGAGATGCTCTCGAAGTCTGGTTTCAATGCGGAGGAGAGGCTCCGCCAACGTCTGGGACGAGGGGGCTTACGAGGCATTCGCTGGCGAGCTGCGCGCCGGACCAGCATCAACCTCAAGCGCATGCACAGTCTGGTGACTCCACGTGTAGCCGCTGCTGTGATGAGCACATTTTTCGATCGCTGGACTACTGACCGTCGCATGCGAGGCCTCAGCGATGGCTCGCACAGGTGCCGCCTCGGGTGCGCCAGCACCAGCAAAGACAGCATTGAACATGATTTGCGATGCCCAGTCCTGCATGCATGGATGAGGCGCAGATTGCGCAGTGAGGCCCCTCCGGGTAGTGATCTTGCAGCATGGTTTTATGCCGTGCACCTCACAGCATTACGATTACGCCAGCTTGCTGTCAGTATGTATGTGGCTTACCGCGCTGTCAATCATCAGCGTTCCCTCCCCAACCGTCCCTCTAAAAGCTACGTTTTACACTTCATGAACCAGGCTCTACATGAAGGCACCAGGGGGCTTTCTAAGTTACAGCGATCGCTCGAGTTTGCAAGTGATTCTGCCGGCGGCTCCGTCGGCACAAGTGCGCCCCGGCGCGCCTCGCAAGACTCCGCGGGGCGCCGGGGTAGACGATGTCGGGAAGGACCTCTCGTTTCCGTGCCCAGAGGCACCCCGTGCTGCTTCCTCCTGGGGCTTGTGGGTGGTACCGCCCGGGTCTCCTAGGGTCCCCCCCCGGGCCCCAGGTGTGCCCGCGACACCTACGAGTGCTTCAATCCTGAGGTTCACCAGGTACTGCTTCGCTCGCTGCACTGATTGGGATCGTGCGCGTGTGTCGTCTCCTCCCTCTTCCTGTTCCTCCTCCTCTCTTCGCCTATCCTCGCTCCCTGCGCGGTGCCGATACGTTTTGGGGTGAATTCGTATCGCGATAATTGCCCGAATTTACGCCCCACTGGTTTGTTCTGCGCGTGCCCGAGCCCGGGGCCATTGCCGATTTTCGGGGGCATGGCTCTCCCCGACTCTTGGGCCTCCTTCCTCCTGCTCCTCCTCCTCCCTGGCCGCTCGCCCGGGCAGTAACTGCCACAGGTTGCTGTTTTTGTGCGCGTCCGTTTGTCGGGGAGCGCAGGATTTGTCCACCCCAGTTGGCGCCTACAGTCAGCAGCATCGTAATCGAGGCGAGGCCCGATTTCCTTCTTGCCCGCTCACTGGCAGGTATTCTGGCAACATTCGCAGGACAGCCTTGCGAAGCGCTGGCTGGTTTTGGCGCGTTTGGCGAGGCGTTCTGTGTATAGTACCGCTGTCCGCTCTCATCTCATGCCCCCCCCAAACAAATCCGACGATCCGATGCGGCCGGGTGCTTGCATGGCGCTGTCGTGCATCCCGTTGCGACCGTTCCGATTCGATTTCGACTCCTTGCCGATGCGGCTCGATCCGATGTGCATGCCGGGCCGATCCGGATTCCCGACTCGATGCTGACTGATCGTGCCCCCGCCCCGCTATGGGGGACCCGCGCTTCCAGCCCGTGCCAGACCGAGCGCCAGATGGAGAGCGCAAGTGGACATGTGCGGTATGACTTGGCACGGCTTGGTAGCGAATGCGAGGGTCGAGCAAAACAGTTGAATACACATAAACATGATACCATGATCTTCGCAGGCGATTTCTCGCTCTCCATCGCCGAGCTCCCGCCCCCACAATTGGCGGCTTAGAAGAGCAGGGACTCGGGGATACACTCCCAGAGGGCTATTCGGGCGCAGCTCCATCGAGGATGCGCGCCCCCACGTCGCAGTATGTCCCCGAGTTGGGCAACATGTGTTGGGGCCCGCCGAAAGTCTCACGAACCACGAAGAAGGGGATTGGGAGCTCGTGCGTTGTGCCTAAGGGATTCGTATGTGTTTCTCAAAGACACTGGTGGGTGCGGAGCCCTTCCCCGCGGGCCTTCCCTGGGGTTGCCCAGGGCCGCCTGGGATTGTACGGGTTTGCCAGGGGTTGCCCAGGGATATCCGTGCAACGCCAAGCAATGCCAAGCAATGCCAAGCAATGCAACGTCAGACCAAGGAATGCCAAGGAATGCCCAGCACTACGCCCAGCACTACGCCAAGCAATGCCGATCAATGCTAAGCAACGCCAACCAACGCTAAGCAATTCCATGCAATGCCAAGCAAAGCGGAACACTGCCAAGCAATGCAGTGCAACGCAGAACCAAGCAATGCCAAGCAACATATAGTTATGCAGTACCAAGCAATGCCAAGCAATGTTTTGCGTTGAACTGCTTGGCGTTACTCAGCACAGCATTGAGGCATTGAGTTGCTTTGGGAGAAAGAAGATCCCTAGTTGGGGTCGCGCAAGGCTCATGTTAGCTTTCGGAGGTCCGAGTGGATCTCTTGGGTCGGCGCCGGTGGCCTTGCAACTTCGGGAGACCAGGTCTGTCGTGTAAATGGCGTTTTCCCCCTCTGTCCGACGCGGGTTCGACGCGGATCCGACGCGCATGCGCCACGGATCTGCCGCGGATCCGTGGACATCGGAGCGGGCCCGTCGCGGATCCGGCGCATGCACCGAGCGACGGGGCCCAGCCACACCACGCGACGCGTCGTCGCTGGCCTCGGCCGCCGCTGGCCGCCCTTGCAGCCTGCCGCGGCCCCCCGAGGGCAGTCGCCGCGGATCATCCGCGGCGACTGCCCGCGGATGTCGAAGCGGATCCGGCGCGCGCAGCGACGCGACGGGGCAGACGAGGCCGTCGCCGCCGGCCTCGGCCGCCGCCAGCCGCCGTGGCAGCCGGCCGCAATCCCCCGAGGGCCATCGGCGCCGATCGCGGCCGCCTCTTCCACCGCCTTCGCCGGGTTAGTGGTCTTGGTCATGGTCGTCGTCGTCGTCGTCGTCGTCGTCGTCGTCCGTCGTCCGTCGTCGTCCGTCGTGGTCGTCCGCCGTCGTCGTCGTCGTCGTCGTCGTCGTCGTCGTCGTCGTCGTCGTCGTCGTCGTGGTGGTCGCCGTCGCCGTGGCCGTCGTCGCCCCCGCCCGAGGACCCGGGCGCGTGGCCCAGTGCGCAGGGCGGCGCGCCCGCGGGCGACGCCGCGGCGGGCCCTCGGGAGGAGCGAGACGGGGGCGTCGAGAGCGGGCGGATTCGCAGGCGGCGATGGGGGCGAGCAGCGCAGGGGGGGGGGGGCGGTCGGCAGTGCGCTGGAGCCGGCTGGGGGCCTGAGGTGGCCCAGCATGGGTTCCGGCAAGCAGGAGGGGGGCAGAGCGGTTCGAGGTTTGGGGTTCGAGGAGGTTTTCTGCCTTTTTCGTCCTCCAGGGGCAGAAGCGGATCTGAGGTGAGAAGCTTCACCAGATGGACCCTGGGAGGGATCTGGGGACAGATTTTGACTGGATTTGGCTTCATCTTCCCTTCTGATCGTTATTCTGAGGTCCCAACCGGTTCAGAGCCCCCAGCCACCTCCCAACAGGGAGGAGCAATATGCGTATCCAGGGGCGCCGATGGTCCACGTCTTCGGCGAGGCTCCCGGGCGAACACGTGTAGTACCCTCCCCTGGGCTATTCGCGCCTATCGTCGCCTCCGGGACTGATGTCGGGGTCCCCCCCTTTCTGGACATCCCCACTCAAGGGCTGGGCAAGAGAGCTTCGGCTCCTCCTGTTTGCGAGGATGTCTCGGGCCAAAGCGCAGCAAGTATACCCCACCCCCACCTGGCCCTCCCCCTCTGGAGAGGGGGGGCAGGTGGGGGTGGGGGTCAAGACACCCTCCAGATAGCAAGCCATCTAGCTCACTCCACCCGCCCTCCCAACACATGAGTAACACCCGAGCCTGAGCACGCTCAGCGGTCGTCTTTGGATGGACAATTGCTGGGAACCAAAACCGACACCATAGGCACGACGCTGGGGCGAGGTGCGCCACGCCTGCCAGGCGTGCCACGCGCGCCAGGCACCCCTGGGGCCCGAGCGTGGGGGGCGATCTGGGCCAGGTCACCGGCGGAGGCGCGCAGACGATCGCGCCTCGCGCGTGGCGGTCTGGGCCAGGGCGGCTGCACTTCTCCAGGGGGGCGGCGCGGGGGCGCGAGAGCGCGAGGATGGTCGCGCGTCGCGCATCGCGGTCGCGATGCGCGAGCTTGGCTGGCCTATAGTTGATGGGGGTGGCGCCGGGGGGGAAGGGGCGGCCCTTCTTTGACGGCGGGGTGGTGGTGGCTTCGGAGGAGGTGGGTGGTCCCCCAGAGGCCCTCCCAGCTCCTGGGTGGCCTTTTCAGGAGCCCCTCCAAGAAGGCTGTTTGCAGGAGGTTTTGGCCCTCGAAGTCAGTTTTCAGAAGACCCTCGCACGGTTTTGGCACCAAGGACCCTTCTCAGAAGACCTTGGAAAGATTTGTGCCCTCTAAGAAGTCCCCCGCCTCCTTGGAAGGGCGACCCCCTTTCCCGACACCGAATGGGGACGAAGACCAACAGGAATCTCCATCTTGGGCAGGACTCGCTGTCGGCGCTGCCGCGTACGTTGCCCGCGTGGGACAAGCGTCGCCTGCAAAACAGTGGCCGCTGTTGGTTTTGGACCACTAGCTCTCGGGCACCGTCTCCATTTTGTCCGTTCCCAGGCGTCCAACTACTTCGTGGTCGCGCGCCTCGGCCGCGACGAGTTCTGGACTGAGGCGGCCGGGAGACCCAATCCTACCCTGAGATCCAGGCGTCGCAAATCTGTTCGTGCCTTGGCGTTCTCTCGCCTCGTCACTGGTCCCCAGGGCCCCCACGGATCAATCCAGATCGAGAAATGCTGCAGACAGATGGCGTTTGTGTGGTGCCTGTCGTGGTTTTGCACGGTGCCGCAATTCTATCCAACGTCGGATCTCAGGATCTGACATGGTCTGACGACTCCAAATGATCGCGGGGATCGGGGATCGAGGTGCCTGGGCGGTCCTGGGCCCTTCTGAACGAGATGTTTGGGGATATCCGCAGACTGTCTGGAGACCTCCGGAGACGCCCAGAGGCCTCCAGGGTCCTCCGTGGGAACCATGCCTCCAGCGACTCAAAGCAATCGCGCCAGAGGCCTTTCGCCATCTGCGGCGTCTGCAGGCCGTCTCTGGGCCGCCAGGGCGTGTCGGAGAAACGGCTCAGGACGAGAAGCCATTAGGGGCAGCGTTGCTCTGGGTAGGATGCTTATCAAAGGGGGGTGATTGACCTTCCGACGGAGCTTGCCCATCCCCCCCTCTCCTTCCTCCTCCTCCTCATCCCCATCCCCCTCCTCCTCGTCGTCGTCGTCCTCCTCCTCCTCCTCCTGCACCGGAGTCGAGGGAGGAGGAGGAGGAGTAGGAGGCGTACCCCGAGGTCTTACCACCCTGTGAAACTCATCCTCGACGACGACGTCCTCCAGACGGCGACGACGGTCGTCCCTCATTTGCATCGTTTCGGCAGGGGCCCCTGGCCCCTCAGGTCCCTGGGGCCAGGGGCCGTCCATGCAGGGTCGTTTCGCCCTGGGGAGCTCGGAACTAGAGAGAAGCCGAGCCTGTCTGCCAGTGGCGCCGCGCTGAAGATCGCACCGTCGGGGCCAGGACCGTCTGGGCCTGCGCGCGCGGGGACCCCCGCAGAGCAGCCTCGGACGAGCCGGCCACTGACTGCCAGGGGCGCAGCGCTGGCAGGGCCGTCGGGACCAGGGCCGCTCCCGCAGAGGGCAAACCTTCCGCTGGAGCCTCCTGAGGCCCCGTCGGTGAGGAGCACACCCGGGACAGTGGCGGCAGCGCCACCCGACAGCCGTCGACACAGGTGAGTGAAACGTGTTGCATCTCGCCTCGGGGCCGCCTCCGCGCGACCGCAGGCCGCTCCGGCCCGCGCGGGGCGTCAGTGGCCGCCGCAGCAGCCGCCCTGCGCCGTGGGCGCCTGGCCCACCGCAGGCACTCTGTCGCCCGGGCCGTCGGGCTCGGCCGGCACGTTGCCGATCCAGGCGGCGGCCTGCCGCACGGCCTTGAGCAGCCTCCGGTGTTCCGCGTAGGCCTCGTCGGGGAAGGCGTGCGGCTTGGTGCCCTTCTTGGCTGCCACGTCGGCGAAGTCGTTGCCTATCTTGTCAATGCTGTCGCCAGCGTCGATGCATGTCTTGTGACCCTCGACCCACGTGACCTGCAGCTGGTCCGAGAGGCCGCCCATGTCCTCGATGGCGTGCCACAGCTGTCGCCAGAGGTCCGCGTTATCCCGCCTGGCGTGCGTGCAGTGCTCCTTGCCCCAGGCGAGCGACTCCACCAAGCACAGACAGTCCGTCTTGATGTGAAGGGGGAGGTGGCCATGCTTGATCACCTGGAGGACGGCGTAGATCTCCCCGCGCTGGGCCGTCAGCTTGGGCCCTGGCAGGGGTCCAAAGGCCATGCCGCGGAGCTGGCGACCGCGAAGGATGGCGATGCCCCAGCCAGCGCGGTAGGCTTCAGGCCAGTACAGCGGGCTCTGAGCCGAGCCGTCGGTGTAGACCACGCCCGTGAGGTCCATGGTCTGGCCCCCCAGGCAGTACCACCAGCGCTGCGTGTCCAGTGGTGGTGGTATGTCAGGTCGGAGGTTGGGGGGTGAGATCGAAGTGGAACGGAGAGCCCCCCTACCGGGAAATCGATTTCGGTTTCGTGTTCGTGCGTGCCGTGCGGGCGAGGCGAAGCTGCGTGGGCGGGCGAGAGGAAAGTCTCCTGTGGCTGAGGCGCGGCCGGACCAAATGATTCTCCGCCGGGCGGCCGGTGGCGCGCGGTGTCCCGCCGGTGTCCCGCCGGTGTCCCGTCGGTGTCCCGTCGGTGTCCCGATGGTGATGTTGATGATGATTATGATGATGATTATGATGATGATTATGATGATGATGGCCCCGCAGGTTTCAAAGCGCCTCCGGAGGCGCGGCCGGCCTCTGGCAGCGGAGACGCAGTGGTTGCTGCGCGCGGCGTGCGTTACGTGCTGGACGTGTCTGACCTTCCTTTCAAAGCGCCACCTCCGAAAGCGCCTGCCGACGTGGCCAACCGAGCCAACCGAACCGCGGTGCTGGGGCCGGGACATAGCCGCCCACGGGAAACCGCCGCCGACAGGGATGACGAGCTGATAAGGCTGAGGACCTGCGCCCGTTGCAGAGTCTACGAGCCGTTCCAGCGAGTGAGCGACCTTTGCTGTTGGCAAATCAGTGGCCAGGACTGCGTCTTCGGAGTCGTCGCTGCCGACGGCGATTGATTATATCGACGCAGACGTGCTATTAGTGCTCATGCAGCTGTTCCAGCGGGCACGGGCTGCGCCAGGCTTTGCCAGCGCAGGGGCTTTGCCAGAGGGCAGGGGCTTTGCTGTAGTGCTATTAGGGGGCACGGGCTTTGCTGCAGTGCACGGGCTTTGCCAGCGCACGGGCTTTCTCAGCGCACGGGCTTTGCTGTAGTGCTATTAGGGGGACACGGTGTATGCCAGGCTTTGCCAGCGCTTCGGCATTCTCTGACTGCATGAGGCACGCTTTCGCTGGGCTTCCAGCCGTTTGCGCTGTTTGAGCAAGGGAAAAAGAGCTATGATGGCGGTACATCGGTCTCGACCGCCGAAGGGCAGCCGTTGAGCAATATTTTGAAGCGATTTAGTCAGTGGCGACAAGAGGGGCTTCAGCAGGCCTCCGACCAACAAATCTCCACTGGCATCGTCAGGAGAACAATCACCACTGTTGCCCATTGCTCGGCCCCTCCACCCCCCCAACCTCCTTATCACCCGTAGGGTGGTCGTATAGGTAGCATGGCGCGCGGCAGCAAGCCACGCGTGAAGAACAGGTCGTTAGCGTCGGCGCTGGTCGCCATGTCAATCAGCTCCTGGTCTACGGCGCACCTCCTCATGTCATCAGACTTGGGGCAAGTCCAGAGCCTGTGATGTAGATCGCCACGTGAACCACAGACAAGACACTGAGACGAGGAGGTGTACCCCATCCTGCATAGTCGGTGTTGAGAGCATTGAGCTCCAATAGCTGTCGAACGAAGAGCGCCACGCGCTTTGGGAGCTAGATTCCAGGTTGATGACTCGGGCGAGGTGTGCATCAGAGCAGCCAACGGTTCGATCCAATAGCCCCGCGGATCACGTGGTGGTGAGGGATGCTCTGGAGCATGATCCTTTCGATTGGCCCCCACTCCTCCCACTTGACCGATCTGTAGCTGCGCCTTGCCATGGCACGAACACAGATGGGAGCTAGATTTGGAAGATGCAGGTGTACGCCATTGTCCGTCTCCCAGTGCACAGCTGAGTGCGTCCGCCAACCCAGTCGACGAATGTTGAGGATGACTGCGCCGTCAGGCCCTGCAATAAATGCCCACTGTGTCGCTGCTCAAGCCAATGTGGTCGATTGGACTCTCCATGCTTGATGGAGTGCGTCCTGCGAGATTTTCTGGTCGAAGACGAGCTGGGCCCACGTGAACATGGGCTCAACGACCGCCATGGAGTCTAGCAACTGGTGGGGCGCATCCTCGAGCAAGGAGGCGAGCCACGTAGACGAAGCCGTAGGCGTCTTGCTCCATCCAGTGCGAACGAGACGTGTCATGGTGTTGACCGTGGCAGGCGGCGCGCCGACAACGTGTAGCCCGTACGTCATACCAGGAGCAAGACAAGGGCGCGCGATCCTGCGAGCCAGCTTCGCCATGCCCTTCAGCCTCCTGAAGCGTGGGATCCTCACTTTGATCTTCCTAGTGCGCTTGTGGACCTCGGTGTACTTTAGGCGCCCCCCCGCACGGCACTCCAAGCCCAAAACACTCAGCTTGTTGACTGCTTGGAAGCCGTGCTGGGCCAACCGCTCGGCGACTGACCTGGCGAGGGCTTCGGTCGAGCCGAGGATCTTGGCTTTGTCCTTGGCGATGGGCAGCTTCAAGGCCTGGAGGACCGCCGCGAGGCGCGATATGGCCGAGACCGCGACGTCCTTTATCAGGCAGCGCTTCATCATAATCAGCAGCGTGATGTCGTCGGCGTAAACGTCCAGGGTGTGCGGGATAGCGTCGACGGACGCGCTGTAGACGTCGAGCGGCCGCATCATGACCAGCTGAAGCAGGAGCATGTCCACGGAGCACCTTGGCAGGACGCCCTGCATGGCCTTGACAGCGTATGAGTAGGTGGTGCCCCAGCGAATCCGCCTGGGCGCAGCGTACATCGTCAAGACGGCCCGCAATACTGCGAGCGGGAAGTCAAAGCGCTTGGCGGCGCCGATGATCCTGTGCCAGGCGACCCTGTCGAATCACTTGCTGATGTCGACCATGGCAGTGGAGGAGGAGAAGGAGGAGGAAGAGGAGGAGGAAGAGGAGGACTCCGAGTCGGAGTCCTGGGCTAGACCTCTGGCGTCGGAGTCTCCGACGTCGTGTTTTTTTTTCGCAGCGCTGACCTCTGGAGGTCTGAAGGTCTCGACGCCTTCCCGGGGACCAGCTTTCCATCCTTCTAGGCCTCCTAGATGGGGTCGGAGTAGATGGGGTCGGAGGATCGCGCCGCATCGCCGATGTATCGATGATGCGGCTCGATGCGGAGCCCGATTTTCTCCACTCCGGCGTCGCCGATGCGTCGCCGACGTCTGCGATGCATCGCCGATGCATCGCCGATGCATCGGCGGTGCACTGGCGATGTGGCGCGAGCCTTCGACCCCATCAGCTCGGACCCCATCTAGGAGGCCTCTAATCCCGAGCCGTCCTCGACGGCCCCGGGC